TCTTTCCCTTGAAGGTAAGCATTATGAATGAAACTGTTATATTTATGAACTTAAAGCATTAGTAGTCACAGAATTGCAAAGTATTTCTTCTGTTAAAACACCCAATAGCTTCTTTCAGTAGTTTCTCTAAAGTGGGTATAAAAATGTTTAATTCCAGGTGGAGAAACTCTTGATGAGTGTGGTTTAAAATTTTTATTGGCTGTTCGCCTTCACACATTTCTAACAACTTCACTTCCTCCTGTACATCGAGCTCAGCTGCTTCACCAAGGTAACTGATGTTTTTTCTTAGATGAGGTGAATCTTAGTGGCATAGCTGTACGTGATTGCTGTGCTGTTGACATGCCTCTGCTGAATCAGTGAGTTATTTTGTTGGCTTTTTAAAAATTAGTGTTCAATATGGATATATGCCAGAACAGAAAATACCTGTTTTATTTTAGGTAGAGTTCTTGGAACTGAAGTGATTTTTTTTTCCTAACAATTTTTTAGTTTTAATTTTTTGTTCTATTTCCTCAAAAGAACTCTTTTCTGTACTTCTAGTACCATGTTGTGCCAATAACCTTCTGCAGGAAAAATGCAGTCAAAAATAGAGTATGTATTTACTTAGGTTTTTTTATACATATTTGGGAAAAAAGATATTTAATGGTCTACTCAGACCTCCAGTGTTTTTTCATATGCTTAGTGTAATTATCCAATGAACTGTTTCAGGTAGTTTTCTTTGGTGTAGTGTTAAGTAGTTCCAACCTGATATTGCAGGTGAGTGAATGAGATGGATTTGATTAGGCCTAATCAAATCTAAAGGGCTGATTGTGATTTGCTTCTTTACCCTTCCTTTAGTTATCATGACATTTGATGGCATTTCCAGTGCCACGGCTTGTCACCCCTCAGCTTCATCAGAAGCTGGTTTGCCAGGACTGACAAAACAGAGTACCAGAGTTAACTCTGATGGAATAGTTTTAGTCAGGATGCTTCTGTGAGAGTAAGAAGTGCTTCCAGGGCACCTGTGGAGGTGCAGATGAGCGTGCCTCTGTGCAGAGAAGCATCTCCTGCCCCTTACTAGAGCTGCCATTATCCATAGTGAGCTGTGCTGCTGTCTTCATGTGTATTTTTCCTCTCCTTCCAGTTCTCTTTTGTATCTCTATTCTCAAACATGTTTTCTGCTGTGATTTATCTGAAACTTCACATTGTCTATTCCAAGTCAAAACAGTAAAATTATATTTCAACACCCTGAAAAATCTAATCAAATGTTACATTTTGTGTCATGGCTAATCTTAATGCCACCCACTATGTAAGTCTATTTTCAGCTGGAATCAATAATTCTCATACTGATGCTTCATCAGTAATGCACTCAGAAATCCAAAATAAACAATTTCACCACTTCCTACCTTCTTCCCTTCTCCCTTTCCTTGACTTGAGATTCTGGATTATTTTATTAGTGACTTTTTTTTAATTAATTATTATGTAGGCTTATCTACTAGTCACTTTGCCTGGGCATTTCATTCAGTAGCAGAAGAAGAACTACTGAGCATGCTCCCTGCACTTCAGAAAGGAGATCCAACATGGTCAGAACTCAGAGCTATGGGCATAGGATGGTGGGTTCGAAATATCCATAGCCTGCGGAAATGCATAGAAAAGGTAAACATAGCTTTCTGAAACAGAACTGTCTAATACTTTTGAAACAGTTACACTCTGATGTTCACCTTCTGTTTAAGTGGTTTTAAATTTTTAGATAAGTCAGGGTTTCTGAATGTTGCATGTTGCATTTTTTTATAGGTAGTGTTTATTGTATGAATATGAACTTTTGTATTTAACTATTTTTTTAGTACTTTAGCTTTCAGATTCCAGTGTGTATGGGATACATTCCAGTACGTTTTGGGCTTTTAGATACTCCATTTTGACAGAGGTCGTGTACAGTGCCTATTGTGGATGCTCAAAATACAGGTTAAGCATATAGTTGCTTTTTATAGCAAAATTACAAAATGAGTTACAGAATAAGTTTCTCCTTAGAAATGTAGGAGAAGTGGGGTCAACTAAAATATTGTACATTTGTCTGGAAATCAATACATTTCCATGATAACAAAACCTTCTATTGTTCTATTGTTTGGTTTTGGCTGATGTTGGGTTTTAGTTTGTTTGTTTTTTGAAATACATGCAGGCACAGCAATAAGCCTATCTTCCAAGAGATTAAAACAAGTGCTCATGAAAAGTGAGTTGAGCTAGAAAATGACATCCAGAAGATACTTTGACAACAAAGCGCTAAAATGCGTGTGTCTACTTTTTAATCTTCAGCAATTAATCATCACTTTATGAAACTTTAAAAAGTTCCAAGTAGTCTGGGCCTGCATTTAAGGTTACCTTACACAGGTTTTGGACTATTCTTGCTGCCACTAACCCCTTTTTCCTTTGCAACCTCCAAAAGTAATCTTCTGTAAACAACTTTTCTCCTGTGGTGACTGGTCCCAGCCTGTTCTTTAAGACTTCACCTGTCCTTTGATTACCAGAGCAGCTAATAAATTTTGTTATGTTTCAGAAACCGATTTCAGATACAGGCATTCCAATTTGGTCTACCAAAAAGCTTCTAGAGCTGGAAAAGCATCAGATAAATGAATCCAAACAAAAATAAGGGTTTAAGGCTGAGGTATCTTCGTGCGTTCCTATGTCACACTCCTAGTGGGAGGAGGGATCCCATATTAAAGACAACTTTCAGGGGCTGTGGGGCATGGGATACCAGAAGCAACAAGAATCCCATTTAAGATTAATTTAACTTTTGTTTGGTTTTTTGCTGTTGAACTGTCTTCACAGGTGGCTAAAGCGGCCTTTCAGCGGAACAACGATCCACTTGATGCAGCCATTTTTTACCTTGCCATGAAAAAGAAGGCTGTGATCTGGGGATTATACAGGTAGAGGACATGCAAGCTCTTACATGGAATTTCATACTGTCTAGTATAATATTGGGGAAAAAAGTTGAATGTGATGGTAATCCAAAAGAAGCACAAATATTACCATTTAAAGCTGAGATTCAGTTTCTTAATTAGTCACTACACTGAATGGGTTATTTCTAAGCTAATTGTATTTACTGAGGTAATTTAGTTGATGTTTCTGAAGATAGATGCGTCAAGCTGTAGTCCCAAATCTACTGTAATTTCAATTACTGCTTCATTCTGGTTTACTTTCAAGGACTACCTTTGCAGGGTGTGGAATGGTGTGGCTATCTTTTCTAGAAGTGTTTGTTATAAATTTTACCTTAAGTTCAGAGGACTGAATGAAGTCTGTCTTTCAAACTGTTATATTTGGTGATATAACATGTTACAAACTTGTTAAAAGGTCGTTTGCATTGTCACTGACACTGAAGAGCACAGCTGGGAAAAATTAGCTTTTCTGTATTTGTGTCAGGGTAACTGAAAATACCATTAGTCTTTGTGCTTATTAAAGTTTTTGTTACTTTTAAATATGAAGCCTCCTGTACTCCCGGTATGGTGAGAGCCTCTGCGTTTCCTAAGGAAAAGATCCATAAAATTCTACTGGCATCTGAGGAAATCAAGAGCCATAGTGCATCTGTTAACATATATAATATTTTATCAATTATTTCAATATGTAGGTCCCAAAAGGACACTAAAATGACACAGTTTTTTGGAAACAACTTTACTGAAGACAGATGGCGTAAAGCAGCATTAAAGAATGCTTTTTCTTTGCTTGGCAAACAGCGTTTTGAACATTCTGCAGCCTTTTTCTTGTTGGCAGGACACTTAAAAGATGCAGTGGAGGTAATAAAATAATTAAACTTTTTTTTTTAGTGTTTAAGACTGTTGTATTGTCCCAGACTTAGAAATGCATTGACTGATTGACTGTGACTTGCATTTTACATTAGTATGACCCATAAGATTCTGGTTTGTTTGTGTTCTTTCCTTCTCCATTGCCCCTCCTATCTGCCCCCACCCCTCCAAATTAATGACAAATACCAATCCTTGATCTTTACATTTTGATTGTGTTTTAGCACTCATATTGGTGATACTAAAAAGTCCCATGGTTAATTTCTTCATAATAATATTGAGGCCCACCTACCATTAACTTGCTTTCTGATTATCTGCCTTGTCATATGTGAAGACAACATAGTTTTTCATCAGGAAGTTCCAGATCTGAAAATGCTTTTTGAGAGTGATGTGAGTCGGCTGCTAGAATCACTTCACCAAAAAAATTATTTCCTGGGTCTGTTTGAAAAGTTGGGAGGAAGTTAATCTCTTTGATAAGGAAGGATTTGATCTGTAAAGTTTCATAACCAAAACATCAAGAAGCAGCATGTGCACAATGACAGTGATTTATTGAAGACAGTTGAAGTCAAAGATACGTTGTCATGTCAGACTTAAACTGAAGAAGTTGCTGATCAGATCTTGCCACAGCTATTCTGTGTAGTTCTTGTAATTTTTTTATGGAATTGATAGACCTACTTATCTAAATGTGAACAGATTCATGTCATTTCTGTCTTGTGATCATTTTAACCATGCGAGAAATTACAATGTGTTGTCTTGTGAACATACTTATTTTTGATTAGGTCTGCCTTGAAAAACTGAATGACATTCAGTTGGCTCTGGTAATATCAAGACTTTATGAGTCGGAATTTGAAGTATCTAGTACTTATAAATCTGTACTACAGAAGAGAATTTTGGGTAGTGTGCTCGCTGGAAAAGAGAGCTTAGGAAACGTGCACTGTGACCCTTTTCTGCGAAGTATGGCTTACTGGATTTTGGAAGATTATAGCAAGGCTCTTGACACTTTGATTAAACATTCTGTTGAAGATGAAGGAGGTAAGAATATGAGTATTTTGCCTCTTAGGTTGGTTTTAACTATTTGTTCATTAAAGTAGCAGTTTCTTAAAGTGTAGACTGAACAAGACCAGGTACTGCGCAGTTGCTCACTGTTGCTGGTAAATAGCTTGCTGTAACATTGTGTGTGTTTCTTATAGGAAATGTAGTAACTTTCTTGTTATCCTGTATCCCATGAATGAATACTTAATTTATCCTTTAAATATATTGACATCAGGATAATCAGAATGACCCTGCAATGATGAAGCTGTCTTTCCACCAGCAGCTTAAAGATGAAGAGACAAATTAACTTCATTTGTTAGTTTGACTCCATCACAACCTAGGAAAAAATTTGGGGTTGCATAGTTTCATGTCAGAGTTGGAAGACATGGTATTTTGTAGCTTTAGTCTTTGGAAAGAATACTTAGCCACACTGATAAACTGCCATAGAAAAGATTTCAATACTTAACTGTGATAGCACGAGGCCCACGTGGTGCTTGAAATAGCATGTGAGTCTTCTAAAGTGGTGGTTCTGCCTTTTTGCTTGCTACCTTTACAGGCCTTCTAAGAATCCATTGTATTATTTCTTACAGTTAATGTTTTCCAGGAAGTCAAGTCTCCAGTAGTTAGCATGGTAGCTGGTTTCAGAGCTGGCTACTGAGAGAAACTTGGTAGGTATAAATGAAGACTTGGAAGCCCTAGAGTTGCGTCATTCATTCATGCAAACTGATTTCGGTAGAAGTTACATGCCTTGGCATGATACAGTGTTCAGTTCCCTCTGTCTTGGGCATATCCTCCTGTGTAAAGTAATTATTCGATGTTACTAATTTTTTAATCAGATCAGTGGCTTGTGTTTGGTGTTTTGCTTTATTTTCTAACTTAAAAGGTGTTCTTCGATGTAAATTTTCCTGTTATCTGTAGTTAGTCGTGCCATAACTCCTGATGGAGGAAACTGTGAAGGGTTTTATCTCAGCTAAGCCAGACACTTTGAAAGCTGTGTGAAGTGTCCTTCGCTGATGCTTGTGTCTTTCCAGGGTTTTTCCTGTTGTGGTTTTGGACATGAAAATAAAGTGTATAGGTGCTGCACTGTTGTACAATTCATTTATTCATATGGAGTACTGATATCAATATGTATAAATGTTATGGATTTCCTAGTTCTGTTATAAGTTGCATTTTTGCTGAGATGTAGACAAAATAAAAAATTGTAAAAAATTTTTTTTTAAAGTAAGAATCTTCGGTGAGATCTAACATCTTACTGTCATGATGGAGACTTCAGAAATTTAAACTGAACAGGAATGTGGTCTTGTTTGACTGCAATAGAAGGTGCAAAGGAAGGTGAAAAGGGGGGTGCAATGAAGTAAGCTAGTACTAAAACCTAGTAGCCTTCTGATTAACTTAGAACTTTGCAGATGGGTTATTTCCTACAGAATGGTAGATTTTCCTCATGATGCAATATCTTTTCAGATAAAGGAGATGGCTCATCGAGTTGTAACCCTGCAGTGTTTAACTTCTATAACTACCTAAGAACGCATCCTCTCTTGTTGAGACGTCATTTTGGCTCTTCTGATACATCTTCCACACACATTTGCTTAACAGTGGAAAATGGGTTAGCTGACAAAATCAACCTAGGCGAAAGACGGCTGTTTTTCACCACTGCATATGCTCATCTAAAAGCTGGTTGTCCTATGTTGGCCTTGGAGGTCTTATCAAAGATGCCCAAAGTTGTTAAGAAGTCAAAGTCATTCCTTAGATCCCCTAGTTTAATGGATACTAGTAAAGATCTCTCACCATCTTCTCCAGTCAGAGAGTTGGAAACAAAAGACCGATCTTCCAGTGTTGATTGGTCACAGCCAGTACTAAATGGTCTAGGTTCATCTTCAGATTGTTCATCAGGAAGACATTCGAGCTCAACCCTTTCCTTTGACTGGAGCCAGCCAAGTGTGGTATTCCAAGATGAACCTTTGAAACTACAATCAGACAGCGATGATAGTGATCAGAGCGAAGATTCTTCCCTGGTAATGAAAGACCTACAACCTCTGAAGAAAACTGAGAAATTCTATGAAACAAGCTCTAGCTACACAGAATCTTTTAGCATAGTTGATGGCAAAGATACTCTGAGTCCATCAGAAGATATAATTTCAGCACAGCTGAAGTTCAGAGCATGCCTGAAAATTCTTACTGTAGAGCTTCGTACGCTGTCCACTGGTTATGAGGTGGACGGTGGGAAGTTGAGATACCAGCTTTATCAGTGGCTTGAAAGAGAAGTGATAGCTCTTCAAAAGACCTGTGATTATAATGTCGAAGTAGAAGATGTACAGTCAGGAATTAGTGTGATGCCAGAGGAAGCTGCACTACATGAGAACGCTGAAGACTTAGCTGACCAGCAAAAAAACATGCTGCAGAAAGAAGACTTTCATAAAAGACGTCAGTGGCTTCTGAAATACCAGTCTCTCTTAAGAATGTTCCTTAGTTACTGTATACTTCACGGCTCTCATGGCGGAGGCTTGGCATCTGTCAGAATGGAATTAATTCTCCTATTGCAGGAATCTCAGCAGGTATGTGGGGGAGCTTAAGTTTGTGTTTTCTCTAGGTCAGGTTTGTTGTAGACGTTTTGAATGTGTTTCGTATTACTGTTGAAGTTTTCCGATTACAGCATGCACTTGCTTCACAATAAATGTAGCACTGTTTTTATCATTTTACATTTTCTGTAGGCTATGGGTTTTGTTGTTTAGAATCCCCTTTCCCTCTTTCTAAAGTTCTGTTCCCTGTAGGAAGCCAAACTATCACTTGTGTGTTTCTTGCTTGTCTTCAGGAGCAGTCAGTACAGATACCTTCCAGCCCTCTACCAGAGCAAAGCTCCGTACCTCTCCTATTTGCTTGCACAGCTAGTGCCAAAACAGTGGTGGCTAATCCGCTGCTACATCTTGGTAACTTAACTCATGATATATTACATGCCATAATAAACCTTGATTCGCCACCTCATCCAGATGCTCAGAACAACAAGGTGCGTATTGTTTTTGTTGTTGTCATTGTCTGTTTCGCTGAAGCCTTGAATCTTCTTCTGACAGCATAAAAACTACCTGGTGTGCCTACCTGTGAAAGTAATAAAACTGTGGAACCTAACTATTTTCAGTAGTACTTACCTTGAACTAAAATAACATACACTGATTGTTGCTTATTGTTGAGTCACTGAGTACCTGGTTCAGCAAGCTGAAGTACATTGGCCTCTCCCAGGGCTGGATATTTTTCCAAGATGACATCTGTTATGGGAGATGTGCTGCATTCTCAGTGTCTTGGTTGTCTTTGATCATTACTTCTGTTATATTAATGGCAAACTCTGCATTTCAGTCCTAGACCTAAGTAAAATTAAGTTTGGAGGCACAAAAACTGATTGTCAGTGAAGTATAGTAAATTCAGACTTTTTTTTGTGAAACTGTATATATGTTCATACAGTAAAATATAGTCCTTTTTTAAAAGTTATGTTTCTGTAAGTTTTCTTCTGTATTTAACCTTGGACTGGAACCTAAAATTTAAAGTGTTAGGTTAAATGTTTCCTGAAGCTTTGTGTTAGGTCCCAAATCATGTTTACTTTTACAAGGGATTTCTAGAGAACACTTAAGAGTTTGCTTAATTCCTAGTCTGTGATTCATTTCACAGGGAACAAAAAAATGAGTTTATTATACTTAATTGTCTAAGTGAACCTTTTCGATTCTCTAGCTCTTTCTGTGTGTTTGGTGATACATTAAATAAAGTATCAGCTGTGACATTAATAGTGAGCAGTGTGATACTGAGTAAATAGTGGGGCTGTCTGAGCTGGACAAGAATTGGTCAGAAGCTAAGCTGCACTGTAATTTTCATTCTGAAACAAAGCCTTTGTATTCTGAGCCAGCATAATGCTGCTGTCTTAGGGTATAATCACTTATGACTGTTCTATAGAGGTTTAACATGTTGCTGTTTCCTAATTGAAAACATTGCAGGTAGCCCTGACCTGTGATTATGGGTTGGTGGGGTGAGTGTGTGCTTCCCCACGCCTTTCATTGCAAAGTTAATTGGTTTATCTGGAATTAGTTCTGAAGAGGAGGTGTAAAGTGGTTTTTGCCATAAGTACTTATGCCTTCCATGGTCAGTGCTTGTTCCACTGTTACAGATCTGTGCGTGACAGGCTGTGATACTAATCACTGTTCACCTTGAGTGTAACGTGTGCTATAAAACTTTTTGTCTTACAGATATATGTAATGCATACCTTAGCAGCGTCACTCTCTGCTTGCATCTACCAGTGCCTTTGTGATGGCCACAGCTACAGGTAAAGGTCCATGGAAAGTACTTTGTAGAGAATGGTCAGCACGCTGTCTCACTATCGTGATGGTATAGTAGATGGTGCATTAGAAGGCGGTGCTCACACCTGCCTACATCTAGAAAAGGCTATCGCTTGAATAGTTTTGAACGTCACTTTTTTTAATAAATGTGACTTTTCTGTTTCACAGCTCCTTTCAAGCAAATCAATTCACTGGAACAGTGTATCAGACAGTGCTGTTAACTCAGCGCCATTCTCTAAGAACAGCAAGCCTAGAAGAAACAGTGACTCCCAATACATCACCTGCTCAGTGGCCAGGTATTCAGAGTTGATATGTTTCTTTCCTCTTAGGGAAAACTTCATTGTCTGGATCCTCTGTTAGAGCATGTCGCTGTGCTCTGGACTTTATATTAATGTTTTTAACAGCTGTGTGGTAAAAATAAGTTCTTATCATAAAACTTTATCTTCATTTTTCAAAAGCTGTAAGCTAGTAATTCTGGTTGTTCACTAAATCAAGTTGATTTATAATGCTTTCTCTTGCTAAAAAATGTTAATGGGGGCTCTAGTGAAGGGCAAGTAGACAGTAAGTAGGGCCAAGTGTTTCCTGTGCTCTACTTGCTCCCCCTGCAGGCAACAGGTCAGTCTCACCATTAGTCCACTTCCTTACCGTCGAAATGGGCTTGGAACGCTCTCAGTTTGTGCTCCATCTCAGAACAACTGTAGATTATGTACAACTCTTGAATTAACCTGAAGCTATTGACAGTGAGAAGTTTATAATGAATTATGTTTTTCGGTAGCTCTTAAACCTATGCAGGACTTCAGATAATTCTTAATGTGTGCTGGGATAGACCCCAGCTAATGAAGCTACACTGGTCACATGAGCTTCAGTTTACAGCACTAACTTTAATGTAGGTGTAACCAAGACACATGCTTTCATACCATGGGATTTGTTTTTTCAATAAGAAAATGTCACATTAAAATAGTGTTAAGATAACCTTAAGCAGTCTTTGTTTGATGCCATATTGTTTTTTCTTTCTGCAATATATTCTCTCACTGAATCTGCGTACATCAGACAGAATTCAGAATGTCATCTGTCATCTTCTTATTTCATTAGTTGAAGAATTAAATTTCTAATGAATGAGACAAGGGATTGTTAGCAGTTCTGCTTATAGGTAACATCACCTCGGACTGACTTCTCTTTTTTAATAGCTTCACATGCTTTATGTGTAAATGGGAGACTGTGACACAAAGAATTCTTTGGCCACTATCTGTATCTTCACTTATGGGCACTAAGTGACACAGTCGGAGCCACATTTGAAATGCTACAACTTGTTGTGGGAGTGTAAAAACGTTACAAGGTGTTTGGCACTCGAGTGAAAGAACCCTTGTCAGACAATGCACACTTCAAGTTGACGCCCGTGATTTTTGGTTGGTTTTGACACTGTAAAGTGAGAATATATAATTTCAATTTGGTGCTATGCTGGAGTTACAAACCAAACTGGTTAAAGAAGAACCACAGGAAAGTCGATGAGGGGATTGGCATTTTTAAGTATAAGATTTGGCTGCTCTGTATTGAATAAACTGTGAGGCACTGAATGAAGAATGGAGAATAAGAAGCTAACCTGTTGCTGAATAAAACTGAGGAGCCAGAAAAGAGAGAGCTTGAGACATGGAGCAGAAAGAAGTTTCCTCTAATGCAACTGTATGTTGTATCATAGAGTTTCAGTACCAGGGAATTGGATTAAAGCTGCCAGTGTTTTACTTAAGATATATCACAAAATTTGAGTGATTTTTAATGTTTCTTTTGTCCTCTTATTCTTGAAAGGTTGCTATGTATTTATTAAACTGTTAGTCCAAAACATGAAGCTAAAAAGCTTTAGTAAACTATTAAAAATAAATAGCATGCCACTTTCACCTGGAATTTTCAATCTCCTCTAAAAATGAGATTTTTCTACACTAGAAAGTACTAAATAATACAGGTTGACAGTCAAAACGCCTGTGATAATCCAGCATCTGTTCGCACATACATATGCTTTCTCTCTCTTTTTTTTTTTGTTTATTTTTTTTACATGTACAGGAATAACAGCTCTTATACGTCTCTTGAATTCTGCTGGCGAGGAAGCCCAGCCAGGCCTCACAGTTTTACTGTGCGAAATTCTAACTGCGGTCTATCTGAGTCTGTTCATCCATGGCCTAGCAACACATTCTAGCAGCGAGCTGTATAGAATTATGGCTCATCCACTTAACAGCAAAATGTGGTCTGCTATCTTTGGAGGAGGAGCTCATACACCCAGCAGAGGACAACTGCAATTAAAGACAAAAACTGGTTAGTTCTACTGTTTTATTTGCATTTGTCTTCTGGATTTTTAAGAAAATGATGTGACTGCTACTGAAAGCTTAAGAGTAATTGCTTTAAGTAGTTCATGTTTGCTAAGAATTCAGTACGTTTTTAGATCTGCAAAAAAACCCAAGGATCTGAAATTATTGGATAGATATTGTGTAGAAGGAAGTAGGGAGGAAAAGTGAATGTTATTGAAATAAGGTTTCCAAGTAGCACTGCAGTGTGAAGGCGTGAAGTTCATCTTAAAGAGAAAATTTTCGGTACTATTTGATCCTAGATTTTAATGTTATTTTTAAAGCTTTCCAATTCTCTCATAACAGGAATATAATTCCCATTTTACAAATACAGTATGTTTTCTCTCTTTGGCAGGTAGGCACTTCCCAATGCCTAGCCCACATCAGGTAGTAGTGTTCTCCATGGAATGCGTGGGATTTTCCAAATCCCTTACCACCTTCAGTACTCATAGTCCTACCAAATCTTCAGGCAAGATACTAGATTTAGTACTAGGCCTCTACATGCAGTTTGCTATGTGTGATGATTTTTTTTGCATATGTAGAAAGACAGAAAAACTTCTGTTTGCAAGCCATGACACCAAAATTTAAAGTTTTATAATTGAAGCAGCCATTCAATTGGACCTTTTTAAAAAAAGAAATTTGGCAGTGCTGCTGTATTCTTACTACACTTCATCTGAAAACAGCATGAAATATAAAATTACTTTGACCATGGTTTGAAAGGATCAGAAGTGTTTCGTATCTTTGGAGAGCTGCTTGTTTTGCTTTTTGAATATAAGCATTATTATGCATGTGGATTTCTGAGTGTTCATTCTAGACATCACAAAGAAAAGCTCGTTGACATTCAATTTTGATAGTCTGAGAACCCTTTAGGAAAGCAAACAACCTTCAAGTCTTAAATTGAGATGATTATAAATTATCCTATGGTCCAGAATGAATTCTGTAATGCTTCTTTTTGGTACAGATTTGTGCTTTATAATTTCATTGGACTTCTGTGGAACTAAGAGCAACAATCCTAGAGATTATCTCGTTTTTTAAAAGGAAGATGTTGTAAAGATAGATGAACTGTGGTGACTTTGTACATCACATCTGAACATATAATGTAACTTACACTAAATATTTTTTTATAATTAGATTGTTATTACTGATAGTATATGTATGTTACATACAAAAATGTCTTACCTTGCATTTAAGGAAAACTGAAAATGTAGTCTGTTTAAATGCAGACTTTGTCAGACATCTAGAAAAGTATTTTCAGAGTAGATATCTTTAATCAAAAGTGAGTTCTTATTCTAGATCTGACTGGTTTTCTCTGTGGTATTGAATAGATAATTCTCATTATCATTGTTAAGGTGAATGTATTTGCCATGTCAGAGTTTTTGGAAGGTGTAACTGGCCTTTCTTGGCAATTATATGTTACCTAGGCGTTGGTAATGGTACACAGAGGTGTGTTAATGCTGCTGCTACTACTACTGTTTTAAAATAAGATAATTGTTTTTATGGAGAAATGTACTCTGAAATGTGTACTAAATGCCTGGGTACTGCATGTTTTTCTTAAAAATGAATGCTGGCTGGCTGATTACAAAATTAGTACAACTGCTGGAAGAATCAAGAAACTGAAACTGAAAATTTAAGGGCAGAAGGAACCTCATTATAGACTAGTTTGTAGGGATGATCAAACGCTGGGAAAGTGGCCTAGAGGGGTTGTGGAGTTGCCATCTCTGGAGTTGTTAGAAACTTTAACAAACTAGGCCATCACTTAAGTTAGCCCAGTTCTGAGCAAGGGGTTGGAGCAGGTCCCTTCCAAACTACCTAATTCTAGGTTTCTGTAGGTCTGTTATTTGTTTTTAATGCAAGTTCATCTAGAGCAAATGTGGGGGAGAACTTTGCTGAAGCTTCTTTCTCTGTAACTGTAAACTTTAAAAAAAAAAAAAAAAAAAAAAAGAGGTAAGGGAAAAAAACAGACCCCCGGTGAAGCAGAAGAGTCGAATCAGCAATATGTTTGTGCCTTTACTGTCATCTCTTACTTTTTCTCCTGACACCCAGAAATGAACGCTGAGAAGTGACTAGGATGCTTGTTCCAGTCAACTATGTCACGTTTGTCCGTAATATGATGCAGACTTGGTGTAGCTTCCCGTTTTGTTACGTCTAACAGGGCTTGTTTCTCTGAAGTTTATTTTTAGATTTTTCTGAAATGCTTTCACTCTCAAATGGAGATCAAAAGCCAACAATCCATAACACTAAGAATCCTAATGTAACAACAGTATGCTGTTTCCTCCTTGCCACTCCCCAGTTCTTGAGCACTTTATCTGAATGTGGATGTTGATCTCCAAGTTTCAAACTTGTTTCAGGAGATCATAGTACTATACAGTGTTGGCCAATAAAGTCATGTGATTTCCCTCTTTGCTTTAGTTGAATATAGCATGTAATAACTTTGGATATAACTTTTGGTATTTCTTTTAAATAAATACCATCTTTCTTTGTGGCAGAAGCTAGAAAACAGGAACTAAAAAATAGCTCCTGGTAGTCTTACAAAATCCTGACCTCCGTTAGGTATTATTTTGTATGGAAAGCTACTGTTTTATTGCCTCTTTCACAGTGAAAATCAGACAAAGCATAGCAGTTCGAGTGCTGCAGTGCTGGGCTCGTTTTCTTATGGTGCTTTGGAGTAATGAGTACTTCATGGCTTGTGTGGCCTTTCTATTCTATATTAAAGCCTTTGTCTTCTCATTATTACTGTCTTATTCTTAGTTGTCAGCTATTAAAACAGATTAGAAGATTGACTTGGAGTTATTTTGGCTCAGTAAAAGAAGCCTTAAATGGTCAGAACAGGAAATTTTAACAAAGATTGTGTATGCCACCAAGTATTCTGTTGTGCTTATCTGATTTTTTGAGAGGTTTCCATTCTCACCCTGTATTGGAACACCCACCATGTATCTAATGTCTTCATAAACATCTGACCGTTTAATATATACTTGCTTTGAGCTTTTCGGTGAATCAATACTCATTAAGGGGTACATAAAGACAACAAGAATTTAGTGTCTTGTGTACATACGATAATCAATCTGCATCTTATGGAACTGATTTGCAGTTGCTACTGTTGAGTGCTAATTCATTAAATCCATTCCTGGGAAGGTGGAAGGGAAAATAACATGGGCAACAGATCTTTTGAATATCACTGCATGTGTGAGATCTTGGCAGAAATTTTCCATGTCTGAAATGTTCCAATATTCTTGGAAAAATAATGAAAGTTTTATATTTGTCTCATAAATAAAACGGGACCAAAAATAAATGTTTTGAGTGGAAAAAAAACCCCATGTAAACAGTTTTAACTAGAAATAGGTGAGAAATTTTGAAAATTAATGTCATTGGTGATCTGAAATCCTAAATGACAGTCAGATTTTTAATGAATTTGTTTATTTAAAGGGTTTTGGAAGAAATTAGCAATAGAAGTATGTATTTCAAACCACTTTAACGGTTTTACTTTCATTTGTCTTAAATACTGATTTTTTTTTTTTTTCCCCCTGATGGCTATCGTGAAGTATTCTTAAAAATACAAAGAATGGTCCAACAGAGTGAGGGGGGAAAAAGTACTGTTTTGAAGTAAAACATTTACTTTTTGAATTCTGCTTAGAAAAACAACCTGCAAGCATATACTTAGTTCTGTACCATGCAACACTTGCTTTTTTATTTTATGCCTAGTGAATTTCTTATTTTTGTTTTAAGCAATTGCTAAAAATGCATAGTGATGGCATGTGCATGCTCGTTGTTAGCTGATGAGCTTTAAATGATTAAATGAGAATGCATTGTACTGCAGCTGTTACGTTTGTGACTTTTAGGACAGGTAAGTGGATTTCAAATAATAGCTCTAACAGGATAAAAAATAAGATACTGTATAGCAGTGCAACACAGACTGTTAAAATATCCCAGGTTCAAGGTGAAAGATGAAATGTCTTCAGCTTTTATTAGATTCTATATATGAATTATGTTATAGTTCAGCTGCTTGTAATGGTTGTCTTCATGTCTTCTTCGTGGTCGTCAAAAATTTTGTTGAAAGTTGGAAAAACATGCTTTTTTTCTAGTCCAGAAATTATTGGGGGTGGGGTGGGGGTGTAGAAATCCATCAGCCATTGCTAATGCAGAGAACTTGCCTCTCTGGAAAAAGGTTAAAAATCATAGTTTTGAGGTATTAAAAAAAAAACCAAACACCAAAAGGGGTGTGTTTGGTGGTGTGTTTTGGTTGGTTTTTTTGTTTTGTTTTGGGGTTTTTTGGGTGTTTGGTTTTTTTTAAATTAGCTTAAATCTTAACTCCCTCATGGCTTACAGGTGACTCTGTGTTAGGAGCATATAAGTCGCATATGTGGAATATAACTGTTCTTAAATGAACGCTGTTTTTCTTTTGTCCAGAGTGTTAGACCTTCTGTTTTCAAGTGACTGGAGTACCCGTTAGAGTTTTGAAGGCTGTAGTCTTTCAAGCATCTATCAAGACTCAGAAGTCTCCTGTGGATAAAACATAAACAAAGCAAATAGGGTGTAAGGAATACTTCTTCGTCATAGTTCAGGCATAAATAGGGAAGCTGGCTCTTTTAGTGCCATCCTTATCTACTGGAGAAAATAATTTCAGAAACTTCAGTGGAAGTTAAGTTTTTTGGGCCCTTGAGAGCAGAAGGGAGTAAGAAAAGTTAAAACAATAAAGCACCCCTTTGATTCTGTGATGTTCTCATTAGTTTACCAGTCTGGCCCAACATGGTGCTTGAACTCGGTGAGAGGGATATCTGATCTCCAGGTGAGCTCTTTTAACCTGCAGATTTGCTTTCCTGGAGCCTACTTACGACTGCTGTTATATCAGCTGAAGACTCCAATCATACGGCAACCCATATACCACTTCACTTAGGAGATGTTTAGATGAGATTTTTATGATCAGCTGCCTGATCCCATATTGCTGTATGCAAAATGAAAAACCCACTTAATTGAACAAGAAACAAAATGTTTTTCTATACTCTTCTTCCCAACCGCCTTTTTTTTTTTTTTTTTGGCATCTAAACAAAAGGAGTGGGGTGAGGTGAAACTTAAGAGAGTTATGTGGCTGTTTTGGGTGATGTCACAGCTTTCAGACCTTAACTGGAAAACAGAGATTTGGGAAAAAAAATTAAATATTCAGTACTCAGTTAAATAGGTGTTGAAAGTTTTGGGTGCTTGAAAAGGCAGTTCAGAAAATCGACTCCCTCATTATCTTAAAAGTTTTAACTTTCTTTGTTTTACCTAAGACTTGAAACTATTCAGTTGTTTCACTGTTGAAACTAATCTCCATGCATTACATCTACTTGAAAATAAACAGATTTTAGAATCAAGTGGGAAATGGATTCAAGTCCATTCTGTCTGTGATGGCAGTTGAATGAAGGCTGTTGTATGGTATCAGATCTCCAAATGCGATTCTCTTTCATCTATGTCCCACTTCAGAAGTTATGGAGAGGCAGAACACTAGATTACTTCTTAGGGACAGTGACAATCGATATCATTCCTCCTCAGTTAAATGAAAGGCTGTACAATCCACCTACCAAGAACGAGTTCAGGTTATCAGATGGTTACGTGAATCTCTCTTTAAGCAATTGTTTTTTCCGTATTTGTGAATTTGATACTTCTCAATTGACAAGAAAACAAGGGATCTGAGACTCGCTTGTTCATACATTTGTGAGATAACTGCATTATGATATTTCTGATAGCTTGGATAAGCTGTTTCCCTGAGTACTTTAATCATCAAGAATGCAATTAAAACCTATCATAGACATTTCTTCTTCTGAAAAAAAAAACCAGTGTTGAGGGAAGTGAGGAGTTGAGGGCATTAATGCAATTAATTAGTTCTTCCCCGTTTGGTAAGTTATATATCAGAATGTATTAGTTAAATGGGATCTTTTATATTTGCTGGAGAAATACATTGTTAGGCATATCAATTTATCAAAATTGCACTGTTTAGAAAAAAGTACAGACCTTCTCTGGAAGTAGACACAGAGTTAAAGCTTGGAGTGGGAATGGCAAGCCTAGATATTTGCACTATGTATTCTAAAAGACAAGACTCGTCTTGTCTTAAAAAAACAAGCATAATCAGTATTTAGTGGGCCTTATTAAAGTATTCTGGTTTTTCGGTATTATTGCTTGACCAGCAATGTTTATAATCTCTTTAGGAAGAAAGCTTCTCATGAAGTTATGGGTGTACGTTACTATTTTGTATTACTTGTTCTGGGAGTTTTCCCCTTCTGGAGTTCTAGTTATGTATTAGTTTTTCATACTTGAGGATTAACATTGTTGATGCTTCTTTGCTACCGAAATGCTGAGATACAATTCTGAAGACTTGTATTGAGGAAAATTTTTACTTCCTACTATAAATCCCTTTATTTAAAGCAATAAGGTCGTGGAGCAGGCAATGTAAATCAACATGGTGTATTTGCTTCCTCTTTAGATGATGGAGAGAAACAACAAAAACGTTACAGGCTTTCATCAAAAACCTCTCCAAAAGAGAGTCCTCAGTTGCCTGGATTGCCACTGGTAGACCAAGAATCGCCATCTTACAAAGAAAGATTTATTCCTCCTGAGCTTAGCATCTGGGATTATTTCATTGCAAAGGTAACTTTTTTCTACTATGACAGCTAAATATCTTCTGCCACTTCTGAAGTGCTAATTTTTTTTCTTCTAAGTCTTTATTCTAAGTAATGATTTCAATGTGTGTTAGAAGCTGTCTGTTTTTATTAGTAATATTTAGCTTTTTCTAGAACTGTAAGTATTTTTCAAACAGCTGTCTTAAAAACTTGTTAGGCAATAAATTTGTTTTCAGATAATGGTAGGAACAAAATGGGTTGCTTTTTATGACTTCTGAGTACCAACCTGTAGGTAATTATGGATCAGGTATTTAGATGAACAAGGACATCTGAGAAGCTTCTTGTCATTACAAGTGAGTGAAATGAGCATGTATACTTAATAGAAAACAAATTATCATAGAATCACAGAATGG